CAAAATCTTGCTTCAGGGGAAATTCAATCTTAGCAATGAGCAGTTCGAAGCCGCACTCGAGAGTGGCGAGATCATCGCTGTCCGTTCCAAGAACGGACCCGATCGTTACATGTGGTCCGAGGATGTGCACAACTCCACTTCAGGGAAGGAGAAGAAGTTTTCCATGGGCTCCGATGCCAAAGCGAAGGATGGCGAGGCCAAGTTCTTCGAGAAGCAGTCCAAGGATTGGAGGATTGGTTTGTTTGAGGAGAAGAGCGAGGGCAAAGCAAAGCCCCAGAGAGCTCTGACAAATGACTCAGAGCAGCTCGCAATCTGCGATGGTACCGTGGCCGCCAGCAGGAACATGACGGAGAAGCTGTGGAAGGCAGCAGATGGGCAGCTTACAAAGGCGATCGCGGCCTACAATAAGATCCTTGTCGAGGGCAGAAAGTTGGTTGCTTCCGTGGATGAGAAGCAGGACAAGGACATGTACCAGAGTGTGCGACTTGGACTGGTTTTGTATTCCTGAAACAACCTTGCCAAAAGCTTCAACTTTTTTATCCTCGCAAGTAAAGTCACCAATTTAACTCGTAAGTAAATACATGGAGGCTTCAACCTTTGTCTTCGCAAGTAAAGCACAAACTTTAACTCGTAAAAGTAGTCTCTTCAACAACAGTCGCATGTAACCAAAGTGTTGTGCTTTCTCTCGCAAGTAAACCCAGTGCCCGAACACCGAAACCTGTGTGAGACCCCACAGCTGTAAGGAAGAGCATCGTCCAACAAGCAACAAAATCGAAGCAGGGACTTGAGCACCTTCTCTCGTGGCACGAGTACGAGGATGAGAATGAGGACGGGCCGATCACGATCTCATCATATTCCAAGACCATGAGAGAGTCCGGGCGAGTAGCAACTCATCTCGAAGAACAAATGGCAGCCGTGAAAGCCAAGTTGACTGTCCGAGCCAAAAAAGGATGCTAGACAGATTTTGAATGTGTGCAGTTCCGGAGCTGTCGCCTCTATGTGGTGCAAACGGCGATTCTGAGTTTTGGCGATGAGAGAAAAAAGCAACGGCGATGATGAGAGCTTGAGATTTGGCGCTTTTCTGGTGATTTTTACATGTGAGCAACGACGTGTATAACTATAACCTTTTGAATCATGTTGGGGTGTTGGTCTTCGTGACTTTCAGCTTCAATTTTAGAGTATATATAACACCGATGGTGTTGTTGTAGCCTGCTTTGCATGTGTGAGTGCACACATGTGTAAAGCTATACCTCCGAACCTCAAGCATTGAATCAACCATGAAAGTCCATACCTCCAAAACCCTGTGAAGCTCACAACACAACCTTCGTAACCCCAAACCCTGAACCCTCTATAAACCCTTAAATCCTGAACCTTATATATAAACCCTCACAAGATTTGTTTCGTCCAGATTGAGGGGCAGTGGACCGTGTGGTTTAGGGGGTTTGGGTTTTGCGGGGTTGGGGCAAAAGCTTTCTGTTGTTGTTTGTATAGTATATTTGGTGCCCACACATATATGTATAACTTGCTCACAAGCCTCAGCCTCAATGCTCGGTGTGTCTGACCATGTGTGTCCCGTCCTTATAAAATGTTTTATGGCTATAGCGAACAAACCACTGTATGAAATAAGGCACAAAAGTTCAGCTGGCAACAAACACCAACTTTGCATAAAGGTGCTGTTCTGTTTATTTATATATGGAGAGAAGGTACCATGGAGGATGCAGGGCCCGAGCGAAAGCGACGAAAGGGTGGGGTCCAACAGAGATTGGGCCAGGCGGTGAGTGAGAAGTCCACCTCAAGTTCTTTGCACGATTTGCTGATGACGTATTTGGCACAAGGCCTCCTGTCGGCCTCTATGATTCATGCAATTGCAGTTGCAGCGGCTGCCGATATTAGAAATGCAAGGGACGGGAAAATTCTTCCTGATTTGGACAGGCTCAGCAAGGTGAAGCATGGAAAAAATTTGCAATCTTCTATTGACAACCACTTGGCCCAGCAGTCCAATCTTCCGATGCCGACAGAATTTAATATCCCCTTAGCAGGACAAGTCGAAGGCACGGCGACTTCCATGATATTGCTTCCGCACGAGATTATGCACCACCTTTGGAAGACGACGACTGGATGGATTACTTCTGTGTTGCCTGATGCGGAGGCTTTGCCTCGGTTTTGGAGATCGTTCAATGGACACCCTTGCATGTCAAATCATGCGGTAAAATCGCGAGCTAATTGGATGCAAAGGGCTATTCCCCTTTGCATACACGGCGACGAAGTTCCTGTTTTTGGAGTGGGCAAGATATGGGCTCGCAGTGTTTTGGCTTTTTCATGGGTATCGCTGATGGCCACAGCGGCCGGCCGATCTGCTGCCGATTGCAACCTCTACATTTGGGGCGTTTTTGAGAAGTTCATTATTCCGGCTGGCGGCGAGGGGGCTGGGACAATGGAAACTTTTTGGCAAGTGATGTATTGGTCTTTCAACATTCTTTACACCGGTAAATGGCCTGCTCGGGATTGGCAAGGCAAGAAGCAGCCTGGTGTGTTGTTGTATATGTACACATGTGCCAGAAATCTGGAAACCCTTACATTTTAGGACCCTGTGGGAACCCTATAAGCTGTAAGCCTTTTTGTCTTTCTTGATTTTTTATGATGTGGGTCCTGTTTTAGATATGTGACTATATACATACACACCCTATGTATGAGAGCCCTGTTCTCAAATCCAACCCTAACCCAACAGCTTCCTTGATGGTGATGATATATATATATATATACACAGTATATAATATCGTATAAACATATATAAGCCACAAAACCACGGACCCGTGGAATCCCAAAGCAGCACGAACCGGATGTGAGAAAAATCACCACACAGTATACGTAAAAAACCCTCTCACCACATGTAGATATATATATGTAGATATATATGAACCTGTCTCACAAGTAAGAAAATGTTTGTTACACGGCACAGAGGTATGGGGCCAGTACAAAGGAGGGCGAACGAGCGGGAACCGACCTATGCGGAGGATATTATGGTGTCCTGGTTCAAATGGCTGGCGACTTGGATTATTATGCGAAATGGCTGGAGGTTCCACGATGGAGCAATCACAGCAAACCTTGTGCTCTTTGTCGGGCCGCCTTCAAAGGACCACTAACATGGATGGACAATCGTGCAAATTCGCCGTGGCAAGCCTCGTGCCTCACCACCACCAACTGGAGATCCCACTGGAATCCATCATGCCAGCTGTATTCTTTACCTGGCTTTTCGGGACTTTGTATCACGATGGACTATATGCATTGTATGTTTTTGGGGTGGATACAGTTTTTTTATGGCTCCGTGCTCAGCATCGTGGTCCACGATTGTTTGGGTGGGAGTATCTTGGCGAATTTGAAATACTGCGACTCCTTCATCAAGAAGTACCAGCGAGACAACGAAACCAGATACACATTCCGCCAGCGACTTCTGAAACTTACAATGATACAACCAAAAAAAGGATTCCCCAAGATGAGAGGAAGAGCTTCCGATATTCAATCTTTGGACAGTGCAATTCTTGCTCTATTCGAAGAGCAAATGGACGAGGGTATCTATCAACACAAGCAAATCCGGCTCTTTTTGCGGTTGAACCTGCAGCTGGCTGAAATATTGGAAGCTTATGGGCCACGGTACGGCTTCTTGGCTTTACCTGAGGAGCAAGCAAACCTGGCTTTCAAGCTCGGTTGCCAAATGGCACAGCTCCACAGCAGCCTGCAAGCCCACTACAAAGGGACGGGGGAGAAGCTCTTCAATCTCACAAGTAAGACCCACTTCGTTTTGCATAGTCTCCTACTCAGCAGTTTTATTCATCCGTCGATGGTCTGGTGCTACAAGGGAGAGACGACGATGCATCGCCTGCAGATTCTATGGAAGAGTTGTTTGGCAGGGGTGAAGCACTGGCATGCTTCCAAAAAGGCTGCCCTCAAAGAGAGGCACCTTTTGTTTCTGCGGGGCAAAGTTGGGCGATCGTGAGAGCTTCTTTCTTTTCTGTCGCGAAAAAAAAGAGTGTCTCTCTGCTATATGTGGTGCTCCTGGTCTTTTGTTTGGGCTTTTGAATCACAGTTGTCGTATATACTGGTGTGGATCTTATAAGCAATCTGCATGGATTCTCTTTGGTTAGTTTATGGCTTTGGGCCTGCGAATTTTCGGAAAAGTCCTTACTTCTGCTGTGGATCCTTTACATGTGGTGTCTGCGATTGCAGAGCAAAACAAACTCATGCCGGTGATTTTTTTAAATCCTTTACATGTGGTGTCTAAGTTTGCAGCCGCAAATATGAGTTCCATGTTTGTGTTTGCATAATGTTTTTATGTGTTTTGTCATGTTTTTAGCTCACCAGAAAATTTACGTAAATTTGGTCATTTTACACTAAATCCTTCGTTTACAGTAAATCAAGCCAAAGTGTAAAATTAGGTAAACAGCAGGGTCAGGGTAGGTCAAAAGCATGGCGAGCCGCAGAGATAAGTATGTAGCTGATCTGGGGTTGGCTGTTTCGCGTGGTTTGCTGTTCTGTGTTGCGGCGTGCAAATTTCCTGTGCGCCTGGGCCGCACAGCATGTCTGACCAGCTATACGGGGCTGCCTGTGATCCGAAACGGCTCTGTCAGTTGAAGTTCCTCATGTGTCAACTTGAATGGTATCCACAATCTTCTTGGACAGCCAGCATGTAACTATTGTGGTGTAGCGCACGAACTCGCTGCTTACGCCTATGGGGTCTGCAAGGTCCCTGTCGCACGCGCTCTTGTTGTATGTGCTCTAGCGTGAAAGCGGCACCATGTCCGCCGGCCAGGATCAAGCTCTCGTTTCTTTACGTGAGGCTGCGCGCAAGATGGGTGCACTTCGCACCGTGTCGGTGCACTGTACATGCCGTGTTTCTGTAGCACGACTGATTAGCATCTTCAGCGTGGGGATTGGAATGCGGGCATACGGTATTGCGCCTCCGGATTCTGTTGGTCTCCGTGGGGTCTTTTTCCCTCCCGTGGTCACTTCTGCATCGCGTCGTCTTGCATCAGATTCAGGAGTGCGCTGTCGAGTTTCTGAGCTGCAATGCTGAGAGGGCTTCTGCCGAATTGGTCTCTGTGCTGTTTGTCGGCTTTGGCTTGCAACAGCGCCTGAACGACCTGCAAATCTGGCGGCTTTCTGTAAAGCAAAGCGAGTCTGAGAGCGGTGCGGCCAAAGCTGTCCTCTCGGTTTACTTCTCCGGCAGCTTTCAAGATTGAGCACACCACTGTTTCGGGAGCTCCGTGTGCTGCAGCTTGCAACAAGGCCGTCTGTCCGTCCAGTCTTGTATTCGGATCCGCTCTGGCTCGGAGCAGCATTGCGACTATTCCGCAGTGACCTCTGCCCGCAGCCAGGGCGAGGGCTGTGCGGCGAGCATGGACGCTGAAGAGGAGGTGATGAGCTCCCCTCAGCACGAGGTGGCAGATGTGCGAGTCCACTGCGGCTTGCGCGTTCAGAAGCCAGAGTACGGCATGCTCGTTGCCTCCGTAGGCTGCGCTGCAGAGGCATGCGGGCAGGATGCAAACATTCGCGTTTTCGGCAGTCTGGACGAGTTGCTGCATGAACGTCGGGTTTGCGTGCATCACTGCAGCACGCACCAAGGATACGGTGCTGGCGAGCGTGCGAGGATGTATGTAATCTAGATAATCCCTTGGGGTTGGTTGCATGGCCCAGCTGTTGGCATCCCGAAGCATGGGCTGTACGTCTGCTTTTGCTGACAGCAACATGGCTACTGTCTTGGGCGCTTCACGCTGAAATGACCCTTGCTCGGGACGACGCTGGCATGCTATGTCTATGGGCATTATTCGGTTCTTGGAACCGTTCGGGTCGGCCCGATGCTTTAGCAGCAGTCGCACGCATTCGTCTTCTCCGTGCTTCAGTGCCGTGCAGAGCATCCCTTGGTTTTCGGGCCGGTCAAGAGCTGCTTTGGCTTCTAGCAGCGTCAACAGAACCGTTTTCGTGCGTGGTCCCTGGTTCAGCAACGCAAACTCCAATGCTGTGATAGGACGCGGGAGGTATCGGGGAAAGGTTGTGTTTGGATCAACCGGTCGCCAAAGCAATTTCTTCAATTTTGCCGTGTCTTGCTCGTAGAGAGCTTCTCGGAGGTTTCGGGAGACTTGGCTATTGCTGTTGGTCCGCACGTAGGGCAGGAGGACTACCTGCAAATCCTCCGCGGAAGAGAAGCGCCGAACGCCATTCTTTCGAAGCCTCTGCCCGTCGTGAAGTAGCCTGATCCTGTACTTGGAAACGCCGCAAACGGGCTCTAAGTACGTAAGCAGGTCCATCGGCGTTGTATGTCGATGTGTGTTTGTTTTAGCTACGACTTCCCCGCTCAACTTGCAGATACGAAGCTGCTGCGGACCGGAGGCCTTCCGCCGCGTTCGTCGAGCGAATTTGCCCGGCCTGCGTAGCGGGGCTTGCTTTGCGGCGGGGAAGATGCCATCCATGGCTTCGAGTGCCGAAGGAACAAAACTCTGAGGGTGCTGAATCTGCTCGGCTAGCCGTTTCGCTGCTGCTGCTTGCACTGTAGCAGTATTGTGTGACGTCATGGACATGTTTCGGCTTGAAAAGCAGCATGGCGTCATTTGCAAGGTTTGCATCTGTTGCTTGCTCGGAATGCTATCAGCCATGCCTCGCTGCGGACGCAGCTGCGAATTTTGCGTTGCTGCTGTGGCTGCCGGGTGCGCGCCAAGCATGTTTTGTCTTTTGCCGCGATCTGTCCGTGTCGGAATGGCTCAGCGTGAAACTTCTCTCGAATGAGCGGCCCTTGTCCATGCTGTGCCTGCCTCTGCGCCGGTCGGTGGAAGTTTGCCGTCGCGACTCGATCGTTGTTTCTTGTGAGGACGTGCTGCGTCCGAGGCCCGTGGTTTTTGTCGCACTTGCTTTGCGAAACGACCTGGGGTCCAGCTGCTTTTCTTATTTTTTCGTCTTCGGTGTCGTGCCTTGCCCAGAAGCAGATTCTGCGCCCAGCGGTGTTTGGTGGCCTGGTCGATGTCGTACAGGAACATCGCACGCAGGAGGTGTTTCCCTAACTCGGCTTTGGCGTGCAGCAGCAGCTGTGCGGTGTCGGGCTTGTTTTGCATGCATGCTTGGATCAGAGGTGGCTCCGCAAGGAAGCTGCGAAAGTTCGGGTTTGCTCGGGCCGTCAGCAAGCGCGCGACTACCGCATTGTTGCCTTGAAATGTTGCCGCGCACAGGGCGCTCCCTCCTTCCCCTTCGGCGCCGTCTGCGTCCGGGTCGGCTCTGTGGAGCAGGAGCAACTCAACGGCTCCTATGTTTCCTTCCTTTGCGGCATGCCAAAGTGCCGTTCCGTCGGCTACGCCACCGGCGGCATTGATGTTTGCGCCGGCTTCGAGCAGGGCTGCCAGGGCGTCTAGATGGTTTGCAATGGCCGCCGCGCCCATTGCCGTTGTTTTTGCCTCCGAGCTTGCGTCCTCATGTCGAATGAATCGCTTCAAATCTGCACGAGCCCGCAGCAGCGAGACCGCAACATCCTGACTGTCTGCGATGCAGGCTACGATCAGAGGTGTTCTGTCATGGTTATCACGGGACTCGAGGTTGGCACGGGCTCGGATGAGCATCTCGGCGGTATCGTCGTGGTTCTGCCAAGCTGCCTCGAGGAGGGCCGTTTCGCCGCGGGCGTTTGTGTTGTCTAGCTCCGCACGCGCGCGAAGGAGCACTTGCACCGCGCGTGCACTGCCTTCTCCTGCTGCCCACCAGAGTGCTATGTTGTTCCCGGGTGCATGCATGTCGGCACGGGCTTCTAGCAAGAGCTCGATGATGCATTCGTGGTTCTCGCGAGCCGCTGCCTGGAGGGCGGTCACGACTCGATCTCCACATTCGCTCTCGTCGTCGCTGTCGTCTTGGGCGTCGGTGTCTTTGGGCAATGCCAGGGGTGCGTTGACGTCTTGTGGCCGGTGCAAAATCTTTGCAACTTGTACTTCGTTTCCCTGGTGGCAGGCGTGGATCAGTTCGAGTACGTTCTCGTGCGTGGCGGGAATGTAGCTCAGCAGCACGAAATGGAGTTCTGCCGGAAGAGCTATCTCATCTTGGTCTTCCAGGGGGTTGGCGCCGTTGAAAAGCCTTTGTCGGAATCGCGGCATTCCGTGCGTGATCTGCAACTGCTTCTTCAGCTGGCCAGCGGTCGCAGGCTCAGGTAGTTCGGGCAGCTCGGACAGCTCTTCTCCGGACAAGGTGTAGATGCGCAGGCTTGCGGTCGTCATTTGGCTGTTGAGCGTCTGTTTGACCATGCGTCGCTTGTGGCTGTGCCAGGGCCGGACGGGGCAATTTGCGATTTCTCGAGCCTGACTCCTGCGGACAGTCATGTTGTTGACTACGAGACACGCTGTACACGTGGCGTGGCGTGGAATGGAAGCCCTGGCAGCCCCGGACGTGACCTGTCGGTGTCATGCCGCACCATGCACCTTTTGTCGCATTTTTCTACCGGCAGGCCCACGTTCCGGTCTCTCATGCCGTGTCTCTGTCGGAAAGAATACCGTTGTTGTCAGAGACTCTGCTGCCATGGATTCTTGCTGCTTCTCGTGGAGTTTGCCGGGGCTTTCAACTTCGCGCCTGGTGAAGACGCCAGATACTTCAAGGGGAGCGTGCTGCTTCGCTCGCGACCCTGCCGGAGTCCTCGGACTGTGTGGCTGCGTCCTTATGCTCCTTCTCGTGGACTTTGCGATCTTTGCGTTCACTGTGCACGTCGGCTCCGCTTGCCCCTTCCGAGGATGGACTTCGACTTCTCTTCTTTGGCATGGGGATGTACCTGTCCCATTTGGATTGGCGCGGTGGTCGGAAGTAGGGGACGAGAGGTTCTATGCGTCTGATCGCGTGGATGCGAATCCCATAGCTCTTCTTGTGCGCCTTGCCGTGGTGCCAGCCCTCGACGCGCTGTGCGTTGATCTCGTCGGGGGTCATTTCCTCCGCGCTCGCGATGTCGCCGTACCCGTGGATGACCCCTTGGCTTGCTAGCCAAACGGGGCCGGTTTTGGAGCGTCGCCCGTGCATGACCGTACTCTGCGTTCCTGTCAGCAGTCTGTCCAAGGTCGCTTGGCTCAGCGACATGATTCGGTCGTCTTTCATAGGATGCGAGTTCGGTCTGGTCGGTATCATTGATGTGTCGGCGACCTCTTCGCTGCCGTCGAGCTGCGTCACGGCAGGTTCGGTGGCTCGTGTCGGAGGTGCCGAGCTTGAACGTGTCGGCTGAGGCGGAAACGCGTTGGCGCGGCTGCTGCAGTTCTCTTTGCCGGGCTTCCTTTCCGCTTGCTTTCCTTGTCGTTCTGGCCTGCAGATGTCCGTCTCCGTGACTTGCAGCGGTCCATCTTGAGTCCCCTCGTCGTTGATGTCTGCGGCAGGTTGTTCTGCCTCTGGGGCTTGCTCGGCATTCGTCTTCGGCAAGAGCTCCTGCACCGCGTCGGTGCCATCTCGCGGCTCGGGCGTGGGAATATCCATGGCTGTCAGACGGGCGTCTTCGCTCTACTTTTCTGGGTGCCTTCTCTGCTTCGGGCTGCTTTTGATTGTGGCTTGCGGCATCGTGCTATTTGCAGTAGAAACAACTTTTTCACTTGTCTTACACAACGCTGTTGCAAGCGGCCCCGCCGTTCCTTTTCTGTCCCGGAAGTCCAACTGTCGGCGAAATTTCCGCCCTGCTCAGGTGTCGGCCTCGCGCGTCTGCCTTTGTGTTTGTGTCGTGCTAGCCGGGTTAATTTCTATGACTGGGCAAGATGGTGGTAGGAGGCATCTGCGGATCGCTATTTTGCTTCTGCGCTGCGTCCTGTGCTATGCGGGCCGGCGGGCGCGCGCTGGAAGTTCGCCTCGGCTCTCGCAGCGACTCTGCTATCTGTTATCTCGCAGTTGCAAGCGCTCCCGATCACATAATTGGATCTCGGCGGGTTGCTCGTCTCGATGGATCCTTCGAATCCTTCTATCCGGAAGATGATGATGAGGCGGGCTCCGTCGTTGATCTCTGCGGACGGCATGTAATAGAACCGGGCTCGCGAAGCCGTCAAGAAGTCGCTGACCAGCATTCCCGCCGCTCGAGTTGCTTTCGGCCAGGCGTTGATCACCAGCACGGCTTCGGCGGGATTCAAGCTGCCGAGTCCGGCCTGTTCCAACCAGTTTCTGGCGGCTTCTTGTGTCCCCATCGTGGAAGCTTGGGGATGGCTATCCATGTCCTTCCAAAAGTTTTCGTGTGGCCGCGATGCTCGAATGCGAAGTTTGTATGGGTTGGCCAAGCCGGGAAGGCGCAGTCGACCGTCCACCAGGGGTCGCAGTGCGAAGCGCAGCTCGTGGATGATGCGCCGTATGCGGGGAACGATCTTGGCGCTTGCGTCCCTCGTTCTCGAATCCATCTGGAGGAGCGGTATCAGGTCTGCCTTTTCGAGATAGGGAGGCAGCAGCGGCACGATCGTGCTGCAGCGATTTTGCCATGGCATGCCTCGGTTGAATCGACTGTCTTTCTTGCGGGCGTGCCTGATCGCTTGTTCCAATACGGCTCTGGCTTCTGTGTTCCGAGCTCGACGTGGCATGCTGTAGGACTGCGTTTTTGCGATGCTGAATCTTCAACAGGCGGCGGCTTTTTCTTTTTGGCGGCGCAGGCAAGGAGCATTGCTTGGGTTTCGTGGTGCAGAACCGGTACGTTCTCGACCCAGGGCTCGTCGCCGTTGTCAGGGTGCGTGCCTACTATGTACATGAAAGACACGACTTGGCCGTAGTACTCTTGGACGATGTAGCGGTAAACATTCAGCTGCAAGCGGTAATGCCACAGGGCGCAGTCGGGCACGGAATTCAAGGGTGGACGTAGGAATTTGCCGAAGGCTTCACTCTTCTTGCTCATGCTGCGTGTGCGCTTCCAATCCACCAACACCTTGCTTCCGTCCTGGAGCTCTGCGACGAAGTCGATGCTGCCAGCAATGTCTTCTCTGTCTGCGCAGACTCGCCATTCCGTCCGGTATGCGAGCATATCCGGGTGGCGGCGTAGGAATCGCAGAAAGAGCGCGATTTCGGGTGTTTGGGAGGGCACCGAACCTCCGTTTAGCAAGCATTCGAACTGAGCGTGCATCCAAGTTCCTTCCCGTGCGCCAGTGTTTCTTGCTGTCTCCCATTTGCTGCAGATTTCGGACTCCGACATACACACGGTCCGCAACGTGTCCTCCAGGACCTGCCGTTGCTTTTGATTCCGGTCGGTTGAAGCTTGCCTCAGCGCTTGTAGTAGCCCGCACACATCGGCTTCGTCTTGCAGGTTCTCGCTCGCCAGCTCTGTTCGGATGGGTTCGGTGCCGGGGGCGTGTTGCAGGATCTTGGAGAGCTCTTTGGTTGACAAGGGTTTCAAGTAGCCCGGGCGAGGCCAGCGTGATCCTTGCATCATGGCTTGGATCACTCGATTTTCGCAGAAGGGCTCTGTGAACGAATGAACCATTTGGGTCACGGACGTTTTGATTCTGTGCCCTTTCCAAAAGTAAACGTGCTCCTTGGCGCAAAAGGAGAGATCTCGATCCCGAGCATGGCCATTCACTTCTCGCAATCGATCCGCAATGAACTCTTCCGGAAGGTATGCCGGAAGTTCTGCAGGTCGAAGCGGAAATTCCGTTGCTCTCGTGTCGAGCCGGAGCAACTTTGGCGGCAGGCGTTTGCCCAAACCCTGGTTTTCCAGGGTGATCCTGCCTGAAGAGCTTGGGGTGATGTGCTTCTTTCTTTCGTGGTCGCCGTCGTTCTTCAAGCGCTTTGCCTTGGGGGAAGCCATGGCCGTTGCTTGTCGCTGCCGGATGACGGGTGACTTCAGGCCTCATATGTTGAGCCATGCGCGGCTTGCTGCAGTAGTTGAATGCACGTTCATCTATGCGCTGCACGGTCCACCGTCGTTGCATGAAAGGTGCTGCTATTGCCGCAACCCTCCCACCAACCCTCACGTGATCTGCTGCTTTTTTCCTGTGTTTTCTTTCGCCCATTGGACTGCTGTTTGTGGAACTCATAGTCTATGTCTCGGAATGGCATTTTCGCGTGATCGAAGGCAAAGACGTGGTGTTGGCGAAAAGATTATTCCGAGAGAAGGGGTAACGCTTGGAATGGCCCTCTGGACGATCCATCTCCACGTCAGGCGGTGGAAATCTGCTCCGGTCAACACGATTTGGAACTCTGCTTCCATTTCTAGGTATTCTGATCGAATGGGCTTGATCTGCTTGTCGTGCCAGTTCGGAAAGGCGTTACTCTCGTTGGGCAATGTCATCTCACGAAGCTGGTTGCCTATGGCTTTCTGAGTGGCTAGCAACGAGTTGGTGCATGACAGACTCCATCTTCTGCTTTCCAGCTGGAACCAATGGATGCATCGACGGAGCTGACATTGCACCGTAACTCTCCAACGACGTATGAGGCCAGCTTCTTGCAGCGCTCGCGTCAAGAGTTGCGTTTGAAGCAATGCTTCGGGATCATCTTTGTCGTCGTGTCTGATGATGAGCCGGTGCTTGGTCCCTGCGAAGTCCAAGATCAAGCTCCACATGACAGCCGGTAGTTTCGGCTTGTTGGGCGTGGTCTTGCTGGTGTCCCGGCTTTTGGTCTGAGTGCACTCGTGAAGGACTTGAGCATGGCCTGGCGAGCGTTTGTAGTCTGCGCGGTGTCGGTGCGGTAGCAGCTCTGCGTAGCCATGGCGCGGCTGCCCGCACTGCTACAACTGCTACAGTGCTACAGCGCGATGCTTGCGATTGAATGTTCTACGGCACGTAAGGATCGGCGAAAGGGACATTGCGGCGATTGGCTTTGTCTTTGCGCAGCGGCTAGTGGCAAGGTGGCTGCCACGCTGCATGCTTTTTCTCGTCTCGCGGCTACTCGCTTGTTTGCGTGCTGTCGCCAGTCTCTGCTTCGGTCATAGTTTGGTGCAGTTGTTTAATCTCTTCGCCTCCGCCAGTGGTGGCCATACACGGCCCGGCCTTCGAGTTTGTGCTGGCCATCATTTCAATCGTTCCGGATCTTGGTGACTTGGTTTGGCGATTCTGTTGATCCGTTCTGTCAGTGCACGGAGCGTTTCATGTTCGACAAGCTGCGCAGCCTCGGCACGACCCCCTTTTTTCGGTTTTGCACGGTGGTGAAACATTCTTTGGCCCAGGATGCCTTCTGATCCACCGCAGCTTTATCGCAGGTGCAGGTTGTAAACGAGAACCCCCCATGCTGGAACCCAAAACGGAAATGACTTGCACTTGCGTCGAAGCCGCCTTTGCTGTCGGCTTGCTGTGTTCGTGGGAACTCTGCCTTTGTACAAGCTGCGAAGGACGGAATGAACGAAGTTCATTACTTCCAAGTGCAGGGCTAGGTTGATGCTGAATATGTAATCGTGCATGGGGGACGATGGAATGTTCAAACGATGGCATCTTGGTCGCAAGCTTTTCTGCCAGCAATGCAGGAGTTCGAGCAGAACTTTGTGTTGAAGCCTTTCCTGGACTTGAAAATTGAAGCATGTGCCAAGAAAGGCTGCGATCTCTGTGAGCAGTCTGGCAGTCGCGTTTTCTGGCTCTCCGGTTCGGCATGGCTCCTGCGCTTCGAGATGCTATCATGGGCAATGTAACCAGGGTCAGGTCTGGCGCCTGTTTGCTTGTCGATGGTCTCGTGGAGAGGGGTCCCTGGCTTTCTTCGTTTCCTGGCAGTGTCCGGCTGGTGCTCGCACGCCGTAACACTAGTTATAGACTTCGGGAAGGCCTCTTGGAGCTGCGTGGCCCACGTGGTGCTCTTGAGCGAGAGCTGCGGTTGCCGCTGGCGCTTTGTCGTCCTTCAGCGTGGTTTTGTCAGTGTATAACGTCCATTTCGAGGATATGCCAGCACGACCGTAACTTTACTGAAAGTTCCAGCGTTGCACGCCGTACCTGTGGTTCGTGTTCCTCCGTCGATGGCCGGCCGTCGCGGACACTGGTGCAAGGACATGGAACAGTTCCGAGACAGGCTGCAAGATTGGTGCCCGTGCCTCCAGATCGCAGGACCAGCCGGGTGAGATTGGTCCTTTTTCAAGGGCGGACGGTTTCTGTTCTTGCGTCTCCGTCTGTGCAGTGCGTGAGCTGCTCGGTTTCTCCGTCCTCTTCTTCGTCGCTACTGTCCGCGATGTCTGCCCAGCTGAGTCTTGCTTCACCTGCAGCGCGGAATGCCGCATTGGTTTGGCTGATTCGCAGGTGGTCTGAAGGTGCCTCTGTGCATGCTGGGTGCGATTGTTTCAATCTTCGCGGGTTGCTTGAGCCGGGCCAGCGGTTGGAGCTCGTGCGGGAGAGAGCGAGGGAGAGAGGGAGCGAGAGAGAGAGAGAGAGAGAGAGGGAGAGAGGGAGCGAGAGAGAGAGAGAGAGAGCGAGAGAGGGAGGGAGAGAGGGAGAGAGGGAGAGAGGGAGAGAGGGAGGGAGGGAGAGAGAGGCACTCTGGCAAAAACGGCAACTGGCAGATACGTGGAGTGTCGTTTTTTCTGTATCGGAGATGGAGCTGCTCTGGGTTCTCTCCGATTGAGAGCATCTGTTGCTTGTCAACAGAGCCTTGGTTGGCAGGTCCACTTGCGAGAAAGTGCTTTGATGCACGGACGGCTAAACCACGCAGCCCAGGAGCGGCGGTGGTCGTGAGGTCACTGTGGATTCGTTCTCACTTCTCGGACTTGATTGCATGTTTCCTGCGTTTCATCGGGCCTTTCTTCGCTTTGAAACATCCTTGAGAGACCGTCACGGTGATTTTCTCGCCCTGCAGTTCGACTTTTTGCCACGGTTGTTGGCGCTAACGTGGTGCCGAAGCGGAGCAATGACACCAGATACGCTTTGATTGCTGCGGCGAGGCTGCGGCGTAGATTTGGGATTCGCACGCTGGACAACTGTGCGTCGCGCTTTGTCTCGGCCACGAATCCCACGAATCCTTCCCACTTGGCTTGTGCATCGTCGGTCCAGGAGCCCCAGCGTAGCTGGGACCAGACCTTCGGTACCGGCTTGCCGTCGTTCAGCTCTTTCATGTGCCATGTCACCGGGTTCTTCAACGTCTTGAATGCGGATGCATTGTCAGCTCGTGAACCCGATGCTCTCGATGATTTTGCTGGCATTGTGTCCTCGGCGGCATTGCGGGCTTGTTGTCTCCAACACAGGCTCGATGACAATTTGGCGCCGGGCCAATTTCCGAAGTGGCGCGCGGGACCTTGTAACTTCTAGGAAGCTTGAGCTCCGATGGCTGCAGCAGACAGGGAACAAGAAACTGTTTTTGCCTCTGCTGCCTGCCGGAACTTCGAATTCCAATTGGCATGTGCATGTACTGTTTTCTCCAGTGTGCGGCACGAGTCGGGGGTGTCTCAGGGTCCTTTTGCTTTCGGCGCTGTCTTGCGCCGGAATTTGGTTCATTCTTCGGGTGGGAGGTCTTGTTGGGCAAATCTCGGAGGGGTGGAACGGCCCTCATCTATTGACTTGCGCTTCCGGACTCTGCCGCGGGGAAGCTTGTCGGCTGGACCGGATTTGAACGTTGCCCAAGGCGCTTGTGTCGGCGGCCGGTAGTGCTTCATGGGGTTCGGCAGCTGTTGGATGTCGTCCAAGCAGAGTCCAAACGTATTGGCGAACGGCAGCTCATCTCCCAAGTGACGGTGTTGATGCCGGGCGGTTTGGAATTCTTCCGCAGATAGCGGAGTGCAGGACGTGATCTTGGCGGATCCATAGATCGACCCGTCGCAAGCCAGCCAAATAGGACCTGGCTCTGCTGGCGCACCTCGGACCTCCATGGTCTTGATTTTCTGAAGTACGAGTGCCAGCCATGCTTCTTTCAGCACCATGATGCGGTCTCCGATCTTCGGCGAATGAAGCCTGTTCTCGGAATCGGGCTGACTTCGGGCCTCCAGCGGTGTGGGCAAGACCTCTGGCTCCACGGTCTTCTCGTCCGGTTTCTTTTGCATCTTTGGAGGTGGATCCGGTGGGTCCTTTTCGGGACTTGCTTCGTGGATCTGCGCCGTAAGATCCGTTTGCTTTTCTTTCTCCTGGCACAGCAACGAATGGAATGCGGTTCGACAATCGTGCGAACCTCTTGCACCGATGGAAGCGCGCCTTGTCCAGCTGCACAACAAGGTCGGAATCTTTGCTGCCGGTTGCGAAAAGCGCTCGTGCTGGCCTTCTTGTCGAACTCGTCATTCGGCTGCACGTCGCTGGTTTCAATTGCGTCGCGAGTGCGGGTGGAGGGGGGATCTCGCTTTTCTACTCAATAAACGGCTGCGGCTGACAGTCGCTGTGTGATTTGAAGACTTGGCGATTCTTGTTTTCGTCGGCTTTGTCTCTGGAGATCGCTTTTCCCAGTGGAGCACTGCGACGTTGTGTGTAGCCGGGCTCTAAACACTTCGTCTTGCAGCGTTGCCTGTTGAAGCGCTGCACGGTCGAAACTTTTTTGAACCGTCTGAAGCCTCGTCTCGTGTGATTCTTTCCGCGGCGGAAGCGGGCTTTGGCTCCTGGACTTGTTTCTACAGGATGTGGCTTTATGTGGTGTGACCCTGGGTGACCATGCATTTGGACGGGCTTCAGGCGCAAGCCGCGCCGTGTCCGCAGCCGCTCTTCCGTCCCGTCACAAAGCAGATGCCCTTCCGTATGGCTCAGTCAGCCGCGCCAAGATCCGATGCCGTCCCAGACCTTGTCCACGTGGTTTACGAAGCCGAAGGCCGACAAAGGTTTCTGCTTGTTGTCCACGAAATTCTCGCCGCACATCGCATGGTTCAGGGCATAATAATGAAATCGCATGCACTCCCGTCCACCGCGTTCGTACAAGTCGATACCGGTGCTGCGTTGCATGTGAAAAGCATCTTCCTGTTCAGATCCGGCCGACTCCCATAGGGCTCGGAAGGAGGGGTAATGGAACCAGCGACCCACTGTGTCGGGTGTCCATCCATTGTGCGCCGCGACCGTCGCGAAAGTGGGAGATGCCGCTCTTGACGTGGCTCTGGCTTTCGTTTCCCGTCGCAGCCACTTGTTCAGCGATTTTGCCGAGGGGCAGCGATTCCGCTTGATGAACGCCGCCAACTCTCTTTGATCGCGAAGAATTTCGGCACGGAGCGTCGGGTCGGTCGGTAGGGGTGCGTCCGCCGACGCCCACATGCTCTCTCGAATGGCCTGGCGGGGAGACGTGGCATAGTTACGCGGTTGGCTGCTTTCTGCCTCGTTGCTGCCGTCGCTGGAGAGGAGCTCCCACTTAGAGTAGTCAATAAGGCCCGGCATGAGAGTGTGTTGATGAGTTTCACTGTCGCACTGGCCGTGGCTTGAGCCTGCTGCGCTGCGGCATGGCTCCAGGTTTCTTGTTCAGCATCAACACCTCGTGAGGATGCCTGGCTCGAATGTGTGGGAAAGCTTTCCAGCTTGTGCCACGTGTTGTTCCGTTTTTGCATTGTGCACCTCATGGTCTCTCACGCTTGTTTTTATTGCCGCGCATCGTCGCTGTGCTGGATGATCCGGCGCGTGGATTCAACTAGCGTTACTTGCCTTACCTGTGCGAGTATTCCTTAGCCTTGCGCCCCCTCACGATGCCTCGCCGAGGTACACGGAATCCTGCTTGCAAAGCCAATGCACGAGCTCGTCCGCAGAGGTGCCCGTGGTGTTGATCAAATACACCGGGAGCGACAGGAGGACGTTCTCCAATATGTCGGCGACGCGTTCCTTGTCTTCGTCCGAGTTTGTGATTTTCAGGCTGCGGACGTACTCGCTTCCTGTTTCCATGTCGACTCTGCCTCCTTCGAGCGACTTGGCGTCGAAGGCTTCGCGGTAGGGGTAGATGTTGCCCCAGAAACACAGGATGTACTCGTCCTCTTCCTCCGAGGACATCTCCACCTGCATCATGACGTGTCGTTTGCCGCGAGGAGGCAGGGCACTGAAAGGTCGATGTTCGTCGGCGCGGAGCGCTGGTAGCTCCAGCCTTGCGGCTGGTCTCCGAAGGGCCAGGTGGGGTGGCGGGTCGCCAAGACGCAGGTTGGCATGGCGGCGATCTCTCCGTTGTCGTAGCGGTGCTTCAGCAGAAACTTGACAAAGTCCAGTCCGTCTTGCGGAGACTCGCCGGTGCAGTAGACGGTCGACAACCACGCTTCCAAGCCGACTCCGTCAGGATCCGCGGGGCCACCCTGCGGCGGGGCTCCGTTCAGCAGCTTGATGCCCTGCTGCTCTTCCAGGGTCCTCGTGTCCATGACCCCGTCGGCGGGGTAGTTCTGCAGCGCCCGGCGTGCGGCGGCCAGGATCTGGTAGGTCACGGCTTTGGGTCCTCCTTGACGCAGCTGCAGCTGCCAGAGGCGCGAGGATTTGTCTTTGTCACTGAGCATGCCGAAAGCGGAACCCCAAGGCGTCACGCTCACTTGCAGGTCAGTGATTTCGTCTCCGTCGGCGGTGGCCAACCGCTGTTTGGTGTTCGGCTTGATGTTGCTGGCGCTGAAGCGTCGCTTGTTTCGGGCGGTTGCGGCCATGATCTCGGATACTTGCGATCAGATATGCTTGGTGTAATTTGCTCTTGAGCCTTGAGCCTTGCAGTCGGTGGCTGTTACCTCTTGCTGCAGGCGTAAGTATTGCTGGATGTTTCGATTTCAGCAAACCCGCCCGGCAGTATCAGCATCAACTCGTCAGGGAGCCTTTTTCTTGTGCTGCGCGGTCCTGTGAAAAGCTGGCAGCAGAAGCTGACGCTTTTCGCCCTGCCTGTGCGAGTTTTCCTTAGCCTTGCGCCCCCTCATGACGCCTCGCCGAGGTACACGGAATCCTGCTCGCAAAGCCAATGCACGAGCTCGTCCGCAGAGGTGCCCGTGGCGTTGATCAAATACACCGGGAGCGACAGGAGGACGTTCTCCAATATGTCGGCGACGCGTTCCTTGTCTTCGTCCGAGTTTGCGATTTTCAGGCTGCGGACGTACTCGCTTCCTGCTTCCATGTCGACTCTGCCTCCTTCGAGCGACTTGGCGTCGAAGGCTTCGCGGTAGGGGTAGATGTTGCCCCAGAAACACAGGATGTACTCGTCCTCTTCCTCCGAGGACATCTCCACCTGCATCATGACGTGTCGTTTGCCGCGAGGAGGCAGGGCACTGAAAGGTCGATGTTCGTCGGCGCGGAGCTGCTGGTAGCTCCAGCCTTGCGGCTGGTCTCCGAAGGGCCAGGTGGGGTGGCGGGTCGCCAAGACGCAGGTTGGCGTGGCGGCGATCTCTCCGTTGTCGTAGCGGTGCTTCAGCAGAAACTTGACGAAGTCCAGTCCGTCTTGCGGAGACTCGCCGGTGCAGTAGACGGTCGACAACCACGCTTCCAAGCCGACTCCGTCAGGATCCGCGGGGCCACCCTGCGGCGGGGCTCCGTTCAGCAGCTTGATGCCCTGCTGCTCTTCCAGGGTCCTCGTGTCCATGACCCCGTCGGCGGGGTAGTTCTGCAGCGCCCGGCGTGCGGCGGCCAGGATCTGGTAGGTCACGGCTTTGGGTCCTCCTTGACGCAGCTGCAGCTGCCAGAGGCGCGAGGATTTGTCTTTGTCACTGATCACGCCGAAAGCGGAACCCCAAGGCGTCACGCTCACTTGCAGGTCAGTGATTTCGTCTCCGTCGGCGGTGGCCAACCGCTGCCTGGTGTTCGGCTTGATGTTGCTGGCGCTGAAGCGTCGCTTGTGTTGGGCGGTTGCGGCCATGATCTCGGATACTTGCGATCGGATATACTTGGTGTAATTTGCTCTTGAGTCTTGAGCCTTGCAGTCGGTGGCTGTTGCCTCTTGCTGCAGGCGTAAGTATTGCTGGATGTTTCGATTTCAGCAAACCCGCCCGGCAGTATCAGCATCAACTCGTCAGGGAGCCTTTTTCTTGTGCTGCGCGGTCCTGTGAAAAGCTGGCAGCAGAAGCTGACGCTTTTCGCCTTGCCTGTGCGAGTTTTCCTTAGCCTTGCGCCCCCTCATGACGCCTCGCCGAGGTACACGGAATCCTGCTCGCAAAGCCAATGCACGAGCTCGTCCGCAGAGGTGCCCGTGGCGTTGATCAAATACACCGGGAGCGACAGGAGGACGTTCTCCAATATGTCGGCGACGCGTTCCTTGTCTTCGTCCGAGTTTGTGATTTTCAGGCTGCGGACGTACTCGCTTCCTGTTTCCATGTCGACTCTGCCTCCTTCGAACGACTTGGCGTCGAAGGCCTCGCGGTAGGGGTAGATGTTGCCCCAGAAACACAGGATGTACTCGTCCTCTTGCTCCGAGGCCATCTCCACCTGCATCATGACGTGTCGTTTGCCGCGAGGAGGCAGGGCACTGAAAGGTCGATGTTCGTCGGCGCGGAGCTGCTGGTAGCTCCAGCCTTGCGGCTGGTCTCCGAAGGGCCAGGTGGGGTGGCGGGTCGCCAAGACACAGGTTGGCATGGCGGCGATCTCTCCGTTGTCGTAGCGGTGCTTCAGCAGAAACTTGACGAAGTCCAGTCCGTCTTGTGGAGACTCGCCGGTGCAGTAGACGGTCGACAACCACGCTTCCAAGCCGACTCCGTCAGGATCCGCGGGGCCCCCCTGCGGCGGGGCTCCGTTCAGCAGCTTGATGCCCTGCTGCTCTTCCAGGGTCCTCGTGTCCGTGACCCCGTCGGCGGGGTAGTTCTGCAGCGCCCGGCGTGCGGCGGCCAGGATCTGGTAGGTCACGGCTTTGGGTCCACCTTGACGCAGCTGCAGCTGCCAGAGGCGCGAAGATTTGTCTTTGTCACTGATCACGCCGAAAGCGGAACCCCAGGGCATCACGCTCACTTGCAGGTCAGCGGTTTCTCCTGGACGCACGGACACCAAGCGCTTCCTTGCGTTCGGCTGCATGTTGCTGGCGCTGAAGCGTCGCTTGTGTTGGGCGGTTGCGGCCATGATCTCGGATGATTGCGATCGGATATGCTTGGAGCTATCTGCTCTTGAGTCTTGAGCCTTGTAGTCGGCGGCTGTTGTTTGTTGTTGCACACGTGAGTATTGCTGGATAGTTCGCTTCAACGAACTGAACCTGCACACCAGCTGGTCAATGAGCCTTTTGTCGCTTGCACGGTGCTTGTGAAAGGTTGCAGGAACAGCGAAACGGGAAATAGAGCTTTTTGCTTCGGACCTGGCACGATCTTCCCTTAGCTTTGCGTTTCTTCGGGACGTCTTGCGAGGTACGTGGAATCCCGCTCACAAACCCATCTGACGAGCTTGTCTGCCCAGGTACCCGTTGCGTGAAGTGAACCAAATGCTCCGGAAAGCGACGTTCTTGGCATGCCATAGCCTCGTCACGGGAGCAAACGGATCATATGCCGGAGCGATCTCTTCTTCGTCGGACTTGGCTGCTGCACGAACTGCACGTGATCGCGTTTAGAGACCAAGACGTGTTGAGATTCCTGGTTTGATGGCATTGTTACGTGGGTGGTGTCTGGGTGTATTGTCGTTTCTGTCTGTCTGCAGTTAGCGGTTGCTGGCATCGGCGGATTGTCTAATTGTTGAAGAGACTTAGTGGCTTCTGTTTCGATTCCATGTTGCTCTCTCGGAGTCGTAGCAGCACGGAAGGTTGTTGCCGGCTGTTTGGTCTTTTCTTCGAGACAACATACGCCGATGCGATTGCCATCAAGAAATATGGCGTGCATGGCGAGCCTGACATGGAGGTTGTAATCCGTCGGCAGAGATTTCCTTGTTCCAGTTGTCCAAACCTGCACGTGCTTCACACGAAATACGATCAGCATGGGTCGGAATTGCACAACACCCGCAAAAGGCTGGAGAATTCTGCACAAGCGCCTCTCTGCGGCGTCTGCAGCCTGTTTGATCCTTTGAAGTGCCTGTAAGGGACGGGCTTACATCGCACCTACGGTCAGCATGATGCAAGCTGGTTCTCTTCTCGGCTTTGGGGTCCCTGATGTCTCTGTTCGGCTGAGTCTCGATGTGCCTGGCAAGGCGAAGCTTGGCTGTGGGGCTTTCGATCCGAACGTGGTGGCAGGGCACCTGTGTGTGCGCGCGTTCGGCCTGGTGGCTGCTTCAGGCTTGAGCCGGGGCATGCTGCAGAACGAGCATCTCCGTAAATGGTGGGCCTGCGATTCTGGCACGGATTGTGCAAATTTTTTGGCCTCATAGCATGGGCAAAGTTTCTGTGCAGCTGCAAGATTTGAAGGGTTTGTTGAATTTGCTCGGTTGTAGCTATTCGAACGGTACTGGAGTGAGGTTGAGCCTGTCTTGCTTTGTCTCTTAAGGCACAGCTGGCCGCCGTCATTTCGTAGCTCGAGTCGATCGCTCGGAGGAGCAGCGAGCGATGCACATAGACCTCGACTTCAGTCATCTTGGTCTCTCCGGGGGCGGGAGTTCAAACTTTTAGAGATGATGGCTTCGTCTGCTTCATGGCGACGTTTCTTGGACACGAGCTCCTTCTGCACGTCTGCGGTCAGTTTTGGCCACAACGGCCCCGGAACGGGAGTATAGTGCACACTTGGCACGTATTTGAAGGGTGCTGCGAGAACCCAAGCATAAACCACCGTGTAGGCGATGGCGCTTGCATCGTAGACCTGGTGCTTGTCCAAGTTCTCGGGCTCGAGGAAGAAGCGCCGCTGATCTGTTTCATGGATACTGGCTGGCTGCCATCGTCCGTTTTTCTTTCTGCCGACAGGAAAGGAGTCCACGAGAGTGACTTCGCCAGCAAGGTAGCTGGTTTTGCTAACGGCGATGGCAAACTTACCACGTTTGCGGCACATCGAGCCGCGCAGCTCCCAGGTCTTGTTGCGGTCGAAGACGCGGGCAGCCCACTTCTCTTTCATCACGAGTGCTTGTCTCGGACCTTCGCTGCATAGCGCCCCTGTCGCCATGGATGCTTTGACAGCTGGCTGTGTTGTGCGTGCTTCTTTGAATGGACGCTGCCTGTGAGAAGACCATCTTCGTGGCTTTTGAGAGGGGAATGCCGTCATGTAGCACTGTGTCTCTGTGTGCTTGGAAGTTTTGTAGGTTGCCGCTACTCGAACGGTTTGGGTCAAGATGTCTGGCACGCAGCGGATCCAACGACACACAGGCTCTCGCTTCGCTGGAGGGGGAAGCGGAAGGTTGATGCCTGCAACAAGATTTGGGGATTTGCGATGACAGAGATTGTCAGAGAGATAGAGAGAAGAAGATTGAAATGAACGGTCTTTCGCTCTTTTTGCTTGCGAGTCGTCGAAAGCAATGTCCGGTATCTCTCGAGGTTGTGAGCATCGGCCAAAATTGGCGGAACCTTAGCTGGCAAGGGGACAGCCGGAAGGAAGGCTGGGGCACAGAGATGGAGTTTGATGCTTTCGTCACAGCTCGCAAAGCACTGCATAGGTGCGTTCTAGGTGCCAGGTGATCGCCGCTGTGTCTTCACTTCTGCGATTTGGCTGGCTTTTTTCTGCGCTTTGTCGGGGATTTCTTCGGTTGGGAGCATCCTTGAGAAATCGTCACCGTGACGGAGTAGTGGTTCTTGCCGTGTAGCTCGACCTTTACCGCAGTTGTAGGAGCCAAAGTAGTGCCG